GTATTAACTGTTTAAGATCAAATTTAGAAACGCACACACAGTACGACATTTGTCACACTTCTAATTCTTATGCTTGCCCTTTTTTTAAAAAACGAGTTGCGTTCTGAGTTAAAGGCTATGTCTTAAAATAGCAAACTAAATGTTACTGCTATATTTTTTGTTTGTTTTACTTTTCTTAGTTTTTGAGTATAATTATATTTCAAACCGGAATATGTTAATTTAGGAGGGCATTTATTCTATAATTAAGATAACTTATTGCTTGGATAAGAATTTATTTAGATAGATAAGAATCATTATAATGTTCTTTGAATAAAATTTTACTGCTCTGTTTTTCGTATAAACTATGAATAATGAAATTTGATAATTTGTTAATTGTTTATTATTGTTTTGATTTTTAGACTTGAGAATTTATGAACGATGAATTTAAATAGTAACCACATTTTTCATGTAATTATGATCTAATTGCTTGAACTGGTATTCAAATGTGTGGCCGTTCCAAACTAGCTAAGAACAAAATAAAATTTGAAACAAAATATGAATTCAAGACGATTTTAAGAGGTTTCCAATAACTTTCAAACTTGTATTTTTTATTTTATTTTTTTTTTTTTTTTATAAATATGGTTGAAGGCAGCAGTTGTAACTGCTTAGCTATCGTATGAAAATTTTGATTATGTAATATATCATTTGTACATATGTCGACAAAGTGCAAAGATGTCATTGATGCATATTCTTTAATTTTAACATTTACTTTAGCTGATACAAAATAAGCGTGCTGATCTGGCAGTCACCTAGTTGTGGTAGCTTCTGGTTGGACAAGTAGATTTTACCTCCGCTGATCAGGTATTGATTCCGATTTTTTTCACCTTAGGACGGAAGTCTGGTCGGCGGTGAACGAACCTTGATCAAATATATATTCTACTCTACAATTCTTAATTCAAATAGCGAACGGGCCCAACAGTGGCCGAGCAGTAAAGTCGCTGAACACTGGTAGTTTGGTCCGGTGTTCGAATTTTGGCTAATGAACTGACTGCATGGGCGTTTCCGTGGTTTTCCTCATGCGTAACGTGTATACGAGCCATTTTCCCTTAGAAAGCCTTCCACGAAGGCATCCCTTCTCAAAGGCAGGTAGTCCTCGAGTCCTCTGCCATAATCAAATGAACTAAACCAAACGTATTATCTGTCGAGAAATAACTTCTGAGATTTAACGTTGTTGCCCTCATTTTATGAAGATGTTATAAAAGAATTTACTGTTCAAAATAGAAAGGCAGAACTCGTATTCAAATAATTTATATTTTTATAGTTTACAATTTTATTTATATATGAATATATAAACACATAGCGACTAAATGTTGAATAAACGTAATGCCAATCCCCGTTTATTAATATACTTGTTTTTAAAATTTAGTGTTTAACAGCATGTCCTTTAAGAAAAAATGGGATATTTCTCTGATTGTGAAGTTGATTAGTCTCTGATTATTATTAACTGATGATTCGGGACAAACGGATTGGCTGCTTGGGCGTTTCCATGGTTTTCCCCGTGTGTAACCTGTGTGTAACCTGTATACAACTCAACTTGCCGTAGAAAGTCCTTCACGAAGCCATCATTTCCTAAAGGCAGTTAGCGCTCGAGTATTTCAACATAAATCAAGTCGCAAACGGCGTGCTTATATTAGTGTTTTTTTGGTTTTCCTCATGAGTTTAACATAAATACAAGGCAGTATCCCAATGAAAGTCCTCCACAAAAGTATCCCCCCCCCTCAGCCACATAGTACTATATGCTTCATAGTCCAATAAATTCAGATATAGTCCTACAACCTTTAATAAGAGATGCAAATTAACCTAGACCTTTAGTTAGCATTACTTTTAATAAAAGAAACTGTAACGCGCATTAACCGAATCACACTCGGAGATATAAAAGGCAACAAACCATTTGTTGTAAATAAGTTGTAGTGAGTTGCAGCGGTAAATCGACTAATAATATGAACGGAGTTTAAAATTATCTGCATGTCATAACTGCATCATGCCACACAGACCGGAATTCTTATATAAAAAAATATTTAGTCTTTAGGAAGCCTTTTTGTGAGTTAAGATGTTATGTCGGTTTTCTTTTTTCTTTTTTTTCCTAGAAATTATAATGTTATAAAGTAATATACCTGCTGTGGAATATAAATAAGGAATTTCCTACACCTAACATTTAAATTGTTGATAATTCTACAGCTATTGCATGCATATTAACTAAACGCATAAAAAAACTTCGGAACATAAGAACAACATAATTCAATCACTTTTAAAGCCAAAAAAAAATGCACTATTTACCAATATAAAGAACTAAGCTCACTGAATCGGGTAACAGAGTGAGTTTATACACATATATTTGTTCGTTTGGTGAGGCCGATTGCAACGAAAAGGTTTTAGAGCAGTCCCATATGTAAAATTTCAATGTTCTACTCTTTTGAATTATGCGAGATACATATGTACGTAGATACGTAAAATAAATACAAAATAGATGCAGATGATATTTTTTCGTGATGTCTGAATCCATTTTAAATCTCTTTTACAATCCGTTTCGGAAAAGAAAAAAGTCTTTTTTTTTTTTTTTTTTTTTTTTTTTTTTGTCACGCAAGGCCATTGTTCTAATGGATTCGAGAGCGGTCAGAATGGATATTTTCGTTGAAACGTGATACTCGAAATTTTTCGCGATTACAATACCTCCTTTACTTCGTACAAGGAAGTAAAAACTATCGAATTTGAACAAGTTGCTGTGCACCGTCATCGCAAATATATACGCATACGCGGTTTTCTTTCCTTTCCTCGAGAGGAAAATACGTATGCGTGAAAAATTTCAAGAAAATTGGCTGGGCAGAAGACTGCCAAAAATGTATTTCAGGCTGTTATTGGATAATGAACAGGCCAATCAACAAACAGAGAAAACAAATGAACTAAAACCATGCAAAAGCTGTGAGTATTTGACCAGAAGATTGTAACTTTGATATAGATTCTAGACGGAAAATCTACAGTATTCAATTTGAACACTGAACCTTTGGACCTCTTTACTATTTCCAGATTTTCTCATAAAAAGTTAGTGCCTTAAAAACATCTTGTTATTGGTTTGCGTTTAGAAAATTTGAGTGGTTTTGTGTTGAAAAGTGCATTATGGTTAACTATCAGAGCGACGTTCGTCTATATTTTCCCCCTTGATATTTATTTTAATTTTGTTTTTTAGGTGAAGAAGGCCATGATCCAACAAAAGAAAAAGCTCCAGGTTACAAAATGGGAATCAGGTACATATTGCCTTTGCAAACTTCACTCTAGTTTCCGCGAGCATAAATATACAACTTTGCAAATACTTGGTGTAAAACTGAAATTGAAATATACATACGACTATACAGAGTTTGACGGAGCAGAACGCGACGTACCATTTCGAATTTAGTGCTGACTGAAATCAAGTATTTACGCAGAATGTTTTCTTAAAAGTGCATTATCTTTTTAAACCAAAATTAAAAACCTAAATTTCAAGTACGAAATTTTAACTGTTAATAAGCATTTATTAAAAAAAAAGTGAGACAGAGAGAGACAAGCCCAAGCAAAGATTTAAAATTTACATAACTTCTATGTAAAATAAGAATTATATAGGTGAAAAAATAAGAATTTATACGCACAGCGAAATGTATATTATGTTTTTCGTAAAATCCATTGTTCCTCGAGCTGTTCATACAAAACGACTGCAACATTTAAAAAATTTTAAGAACAGAAATTCGTTTGGTAACTTATAATCATTTACTTCCTTTTTATACACAAAATCACTCTGTCATATAAAAACATTCTTTAAACTATTATTTGACTACAAAAACAGAACTGTTTGCAATATTAAAAAAAGAAAAATGCCACAGATTCATCTTTAATTCAGAAAGTCCTCTGTAGTTTCATTTTTAACTTTCTTATTATTGCCACTTCCGAGAAAAATACTATTTTTTTTAATGGATTAGTTTAAACTTCTCAGTGTAGTCCCCTTCTGCGATTATACACCAGACTCAACAACTACGGCATGATTGGAATGCTTTTTACAATGCTTTTGATCGAAGCTTTACAGAATCAGTTCACTTTGGATTTAAACCTAAAGTGGTGGTATTAAAGATCAGAATTTTCATGCTGTCGAATTTGGAAAGCTATAAAAAAAACGGATCATGCAAATTTTATTTCTCTCCAAAATATGCATCTTCAGTTATTGGTACTTTGTTGGGACGAAACAAATAGTTTTTATCTTTTCACTGTCGAAATCTTTTCGATAAATATTCCCTCTCAAATTTTTTAAAACATCATTCACCGGTGTTCAAAGTTAAGAGAATTTTCACATTTCGTCGCTTATATATTGATGTGAAGAATGATTTGATAAATGAAATTTGGTGTGGACATACATAAGTTCCTATAACAAAAAATACAGCCTACAACAGTAGTGGTACACAGATATAATTGTGTACAAGGTTCATTGCCGCAGAAGGTCTAAAATATGTACGGTACTGCTTGTATAGAAACCTAATATTCTTCCGTCCCTACTAGACTGACAAGCGAGTTATATCTCCAGCCTGAATTCAGATGGAAAAGGTCTTAGAATGGGTTTAGAACGGGTAAAATAACCTTTTTATTGAACTTTCTATATTAACAGAAGGCACCACTTGTGCTACAGAATATAACTCCGCTACTTGAGATATTTCAAATAACATACGAAAAAGTTAAATTCGAATTTCGTTAACGTAATTTAAAACTATGTGCAAAATAGTCTGCTTAGACTGGTACAAGTAATTAACGGCGGGCGTGCATTTAAGCGTCGGCTAGCAAAGTGCTAAAGCTGGAATAGCTTTGGCAGAGTTGATGATAGTACTAACTCCAATGTGAGGTTGCCAAAAGCTCTAACCCTAAAACATTCACACCCATCAGATTAAATACTCAACAACTAATATGCATTCTGATGAGGACTACGGAAAAAAGAAGTCAAAATAAAGGTTTAGATTATAATAACTGGCTAATTAACATTAAATCGTACAAACGGAGGTCGAAAAATGGAACAAAAGAGGAGGCTGTGGTCGCGTCCGATAGCCACACAGCTCCCACAATGTGACTTTACCCTGAAAATGAGGCAGTTTATGAGTCCCTGTGGCATTGATCCCACTCTTGCAGGAACGCAGTTTTCAGGTTTTGAAGGTTTCTCAGAGGGAAAGGGCGAGTTGCAGTAGCCCTCCCAAGAATGCCTCAGATATGTTCTTTAGCGTTTAGGTCAAGAAAATGACCGGAAAATCCATCCCATTAATATAATAATTTCTAGAAAATCGTCCACCAGATAAGCCTTATGTGGACAAGTGTTGTCGTCCATAAAATTAACTGAGTGCCAACAGAATCTCTGAAAAGGCGAACATAGGACTTAAAGATCTCATCTTATTTGCAAGAAGACTTGTTGTTTGTGTCCTGCTCATATCTGCGCGCAAGATAGGACTTAGAATGGTTAGATAACATTGACTTGGGACCATACAGCAATGAGGGACTGTTTTCTTCAGACATAAGTCCTCAACAACCTCTCCACTGATTCTTGATATATACCTTCATCTGCAGTGATTCAGACTCACCATCTGTCTTCCAACATCCGAGAAAGAGATCAGTATCGCAGTGGAGTTTTGATAATTATGGCAGACATCAAATTGCACATTGGTGCACAGATGCGCATGTCTTTGACAGAGGTTCTGCGATATATCCTAGAGCTTTATTTTCGCCTTTTCAGGGGTACAGTTGGCTCTCAGTTCATTTTTCTGAACAATAGCACTCGTCCACATAAGACAGATCTGGTGAATAATTTTCTAGAAATCAGGATATTAACCGGATCGATTAGCCAACCAGATCTTCAGGCCTAAACTTCACAGAGCGTATCTGGGACGCTCACCAAGACCTGAAAAGCGCGTTACCGCAGGAGTGGGACCGACTTTCACAGGAACTCATAAACTGACACATTTCTAGTACAAAATCATGTGGCGAGATCTGCATGATTGTTAAATGGGACAATGCCTCATTCTCTGTTCGATCTCACGAACTCTATTGCAAGAGCTTCGTGCGCCGACGAATTTTACGCACGATCCTCATGCGTGTGATTTCGATAAATTTTGTTGTATGCTATTATGTTTCTGATATCAAACTATTATCTATACCAAATTTTATCAAAGTCTGTCCATCACTTCTGAAGATAATGAACCAAATGTGAAAATTTTCTTAATTTAGAACAGTATAAAACTCCACACTGCCTGATTTGGAAAAAGGATGATTAGTGCATAATGTCCTTCATGGGACAAACAAGTATCAACATTGTTTTTGCTGCATTTCTAGCATTCCTTGATCCTTCTGTTCTTGAAAGAATTTGAGATTTTTATACTATGTGGGTTCTTGCTTCGACTCAGGATTTTAGCTACGAAGCAAAGTTGTGTTCCTTAATGATTACTATACAGATCGCAAAACATGCTAAGCAGACTTCAGTTAAAAATTTATAGAAAGGACAGATATTGTATAATAGTATATATGGTTCATATTTTCTAGTTTGAAGTCAATATTATAGGTACAAGAAATTTCTGTTGCACTGTTCAGCGAGGAGCAAAAACTGCAAAATTTTTTTTTTTGAACAATTCCAGTATTTGGCTTGGAGTTTACGATAAATTATTCGAAAAATAACAATTACCTTTTGTAGGTAATTTATCTGATTTTTTTTATAGGCTTCGGAGAGGGGAGACGAAAATCGGTCCTGGTCCTGCAGCTTACGACGTGAGCCGCATGACCAACATGGGAAAAGACATCTGTAAAGCTCCGAAAATTGGGAAAGCTGATCGCTTCCGTCAGCAATTAGGGATGGTTTCACCAGGACCTGCAGTGTATAGTAGATATCTTGGCGACAGAAGTGTCTATCCAAGAGCTCCCGCTTTCTCAGTCCCTCATGCAAAAAGAGGGCAAATTCAAACTGCTATCGGACCAGGTTGACCTTAAATATTCTGTTTTCTGTATTTAATTACTTTGTTTATCACAAGATTTTAAACACTAAAATATTTATAGGAATTTTATCAAAGTGACGTCATTCGCACAAAATATATGAAGTGATCTTTCGAATAAATTATTCTTCGCATGGAAAGTGAAAATCAATTTTAAGAAATCAGATTCCGATATTGCAGTTTATATTATTATTTTGCATAGGTTACAAACCATGTCAACAGCTTCCTAAAGTAAATAAGAAAGTATGAAAGACATCTGCATAATTTTCAGTTTCACATCTTCTTCTTTCATGACGCATTGAAAATATGTAAAACGGAAAGTTAAGGCATTTGGCACTAACAATAAAACTAACAGGAAGAAAACGGAAAAATAATTTATCCAAAATGCTTTAAATCTGCAATATTTCAAGTTTTAAGAAAATTGTTTAAAAGAGTTATGTTTCATTTAAATAGACAACCTTTAGTTAAACCTTTCAGGTTTTGTAGGCTTAGAATACAAAATATCAGTGGACAACGAAGAAAACAGATACCGTATATTCCGGCGTATAATGCGCACCTTTAACTTCAACTACATTTATCAATTTTTAGGTATATTCACCGTATAACGCGCATCTTCTTCGTTGTAAGGAAACCGGAAAGGTACATGTGCGATGCTGTTATCTTTTGAAGTCGTTTCATTCTAAGAATTTTCGCAGGCTTTTGAAGAACGGTATGCTGAACTGACAAGTGATAAGGGGAACAGTATGGGTGTATGTGTGTGTGTGGGGGGGGAGAATGCTTGAGGGAGTAAACGGTTCTGCAAAGAGGCTGGGTTGTATTCAATACAGATGTGCACAAGAATGTTACTCTAGGATTTTGAGGAAAGGGGGACAGAATTTGGAGTAAGAATGCCCTTCGGACCAGAATGAATTCACGAAATTTTCACGTCAGAAGTTTTTTTCTTTCTGCAGTCATTTGAAGCCGCGATTGTGAAGTAAACATCGAAGGCTTTAGAAAATCGAATTTGCTTTTGTTAACATACAGTTGATCTAGTGTTCCTTTTAGTAGTTAATATGGCTTCTGCTAAACAAAACAACACAGTGCTCGATTCAAACGCAAAGTCATTCAGTTTCTGGAAAAAAATGGAAATCGTGCTGCAGCAAGGATGTTTGGTGCTGGTGAACGGTGGAATGGATGATTATTATTTATTTATGGATCAGAGTAGCATTGATGGCGAAGATGAAATAGAATTCGATAATGTGCTTGAAGATATAACGGAAGACGAATATGGCGAACATTTCATGTTAACCGATAATGAGAATTTTTAAGTTTATAAGGTTCGTTTCTTTTAAATCTACAGCATTTAGGTACATGTAAAAATATAATTTTGGGATGCTGATTTTTTCGTTATTATTAGTCTATCATTTTTATATCCGGCGTGTAACGCGCAGCCGTAAATTTCGATCTTATTTTCTGTACTAAAAGTGCGCGTTATAAGCCGGAATTTATGGTAATTTTGCCATTTGTTTTATAAAAATAACTTAAACATTACGAAATCTACCTGATTAAAGGAGATTACGAAGTTTTAAGGGAAGATCTTTATTATTATAAAGGTTAATAAAACTTACATAGCCTACAACAAATTGACATATAGGCTCTTGAACAGTGGCGTAGCTAGGGTGGGGCAAGGGGGGACATCTGTCCCCAGGCGCAGCATCGAGAGGGCCCCAAATGTAATTAAAATTTAGAATGAAAGTTTCCCTTTGGCCACAGAAGGGGGCGCAAATCTTCGTTCCGGCGACTGAAAACTCTAGCTACGCCTCTGCTCTTGAAAAAGCTTTTACAAATTAAAACAAACAAAGATTCATGCCTGTTAAGTAGCAATTAGTCGAGTATAGTATTTTATTTCTTCTGTAAAGATGCCATCCATCTTCTCTTTTCTCTTATATATATCTGCATGCCGCCCAGACGGTATAGTTGTTGGGAGAGGCCACTGCGGTACCGAGGGGTCCTTATTGTTCGAATACCAGAGAAGGCAAGGCTGTAACTGTCCGTCCTTCATAGGAGGCAACGGTAGCTGCCTGTTAGGTCTCTCCACAATAAAATGCCATTGCTTCTGACCTCAGTAGCGGCCAAAGCATAAAATAGCTAGTACGCCATAAAAAAAAAAAAAAAAAAAAAAAAAAAATCTAAAAGATTTCAGATTTTAAATTATGTCCCAAGGGGCATTTTTTAACGTCTTGTGTGTTACCTTTATTTAATTAATATTATGTTCTACGTACTCAAACCATAAAATTCAGTTCAACAGCAATAACGTAAAAATATTTAAAAATGGGCATATTTTTAAAACTTCCGATACAGAGTCTCGTCAGCTGGAGATAAAAATGTTCCCCCCTCTCGTACAGTGTTGCCATTGCTCGCTTTGAAATCGTTTAGTCTGTTGTTAATCAAAAATTCGTTGAATTGTTACAAAATATGAAATGCACAATAAAACAAATTCCAAATTAAGGCTTCCACACGCCCATATTCTATGGAAGATTATGTTATTCAAATTTGGATGGCTCTAGGTACCGTCGTTTTATCACAGTGCGAGAAACATACATTCATTCATGAAGATGCTTCATTATTAATACTTTAATATATACAACTCTTATATTGGTGGCCCAATTGAACGTCGTTCGCGTTTGGTTTCGTGAGTGACAAACGCAATTATAGTCTGCGGGACTGACCATTGGTCATCCCTCAGAGACGTAGCGAAGGCCTTTGGTCTTCACAGACCGAATACGATGCAGGCCCTGGAGCGGCATAACGTCGTTTGTCCCAATTATCGCAGTGTATGTAGGTGGAATATAAAGAAATTTTTGTATGAACTTGACCAATTTATGCATTTTTAACCGATATGCCCGCGGATCGCAGAAAAGTGCGAGCGGCCGTGTTCGCTGGATTCATTCGAAAATACCAGGGAAAAAAACATCTAATATGGTTTCCAAAAATACTAAACCTCTCAAAATAGCCATAATCGTACAAATACAAAACGCACTTTGTCATGAAGCCGAGTAGTGAGTAAGCTGCAACTGCAAATTCGTGGCGCGCATGGGAATGCGTCATCGCAGGCATAAATTGTATGTTTGAAAGAAGCCTGTAGATTCATTGGATGCTGAAAAAAGAAATATGGGGAGCCAATTGACCAATGACGTCAGGCTCATTGCCCGAAGACTGCGCGGGGAGAGTCAAATTAGAGTACGCCCTAAGAAGAGAGAGGACAAAGTGGAGAAGTGGCCAATGGCAAATGGAGTCTTTCTGTGGTCATAGACTTGGTAACTTTTTACGTAGATATGGATGCAGGAGGTTCGTCGGACGGCCAGTTAGCTATAATGGCGCCAAAACCGAATTGTTGTAGTGCGCGACAAACAGACGCCAACTCTAACTCAACTCAGATTCCTCCTTGCTAAGCCGTGGGATGTCGTTAACGTCACCGTACGTAGAAGCTTCCAAGAGCTCTCTAACGCGAGGCGACCAGGTATTTGCGTGCCGCCACTATTCATAAAAAGGTCGTTGAGTGGGTACGTCATAATCATTAGACCGCTGATCAGTGGAGATTGCTCTTTACTAGAGCGTCAGATTAGCATCCAAAGCGATAGTAAGCATTACTTAGTTTGGAGAGAACCTGGAAGTCGTTATCATCCATCAAAACATACATGAAAGATGCATACGGAGGAGGAGGCAGTGTCTGAGTCTGAGGGGATCTTTGGAGGCCGACAGACCTCATGGTTTCCACGTGGAACTGTGAATGCTTAGGCTTACAGAGCTAACATCCTTGGTGCTTATCCGCACCCTTATGCTGGGGCAATAGATGATGATTTCTTGTACAGGGACAAAGTCGCCCATCAGGCTCGCATTTAGATTATTTCAGCAACAAACATCGTTCATGGGTGGACAACTGATCACGGCCTGACTCTATCGACCAGCTTGGGATGCTTTGGAAAATTTATGCTCCAGTCGTCCTCTTCAGGCGCTTCCAATCTTTCAGAGTAGCTTTCACTCCTACGGAGCTCTAGACCGATAATTGACAGCATCACCATCGCTGTATGTGCTCTATGGCTTTAGGGGAGCATACACCTATTGAAGGTATTTCCTACCACTGACCTTTGACCAAAAAACGTCTTGGACGTTAGGCGGGTGAAAAGTCTACCTAAACCCCAACTGACACATCTGATTTGTTCATTTTATACATATGCTAATTTCTATAACACCATAACTACCTGGTAATTTTTTCATGTTACTTTGTACATTATTATGTGTTGTATACTGTGGGTAAGTTTCACCAAGTTCTACATGTAACGTTTTGCGTAATCGCCATTTTTATGATGTTACCTTAATTAATGATAACCAGTGTATTTAGGAGTGACTCACTGCCGAACAGGCAAGTGCTGCCCGCTTTTGGATTGGGGAAAAAAAAAAAAAACTCTTGGGACTTCCTATTTATGTGATACCAGGGTTAGTCTAGAGCAACTGTTTAAAAACATTATTATTTTTTCAATAACTTAACCTTTTATAGTTTGGTATTTGAAAAAATAAAGAATAAGTTTTAATAAATAAAGAATATTTACATTTTTGTTATATCATTTTCCATTAAGATAATGCCAAATTAATAATTCGATTTCGCACATTTTTTAGGATAAATAATTTTATATTAACCTTAATCACTGAAAATAAGTTATCATGATTAATTATGCAAGTGATTAACCTAAACTATTTTTAATAGAATATTAACTTAACAGTACTTCACTATGAGTTACTTCCAAATAGTGAGTGATTTATCGTTCTATCTACAAAGAATTAACTCAAACACTTATTTAAAATTCAATAAGTTTAATTTCCCTTTCCTGGTGAGTTATAATACTAAGAGCGAGAATTTACAACTGAAAGCAGTGTTTCTTATCAACAACAATACTTTAATTTACTGCCTTAAAATTTACATTTCTCAAAATCAAATTTCTTAACCAAGAAAGATGGTTTTACCCTCAGCTAATTACTCTAAAGGAGCACATATCAGTCTCTAAAAACAAGCTTTCGAACAAACTCTTTCCAAACAGATTGGCTGTAAGGATTGGATTATCACATGTAAGTACTTCACTAATAGATATAAGCTAGATCAGCACTTCTTTATAACCATAGGTGATTAACACATCGCTGTACCTAGCTAACTGATAAACTTCCGTTCTAATTTGAAATTCCGAGACAGGACATCCCGGGGGAGGGTCCGAGAGACTCCTACTTCTCTTCCTTTACCACAAGTCTCTAGAGTTTTTTTGGGGGCGGGGGGGGGCTCGCCGTGTGCTTCGAATGTCCCCTCCTGTGCAGATACTATATGCTTACAACTATACGTTACACTATACGTGCCTCCACCGGGATTCGAATCCGAACCCTTCAGTACAGCAGTCTGCGTCACTAACGACTATCCGTCTGGGCTGCATTATCACGTACAGCTACACTATAAGGCAACGCATTTCTTTCAACACTAGATTAAAAAAGAGGTTTATTTCTAATCGAAACATTTCCACTCAGAGATCTGTTACACGTATGTTCCTGGGACATTTCACGAGGCTGACGAAAATGTTTCGGCTGCAGCTTTGTTTCGCGTGTGATAGGAAGGAGAGAATATACTTCTAGGAGGTCTTTGCTTAGGTCAACCAATCGAATTTTCTGGACGTGAATATTCCCGGAAATGTTTCTTTCGAGACACAGATGAGGGTATCTAACAGGTCCGAAAGCAATTTAACTCTTACCCACAAGGAAGAGACCGCTCTTTAATCCACAAGATAAGAGTTGCAGTGAAGCTTCGGTACCTCCAAATTTCCTTGCCCGTGTTTTAATACGCATAATTTGTCTGAGCAAATGTATTTGATGTGAGTCAACGGACGATACAATAATATCTATATTAAGCTAAGCTGTTAGCAAAACGTGAAATAACTGTCGCAACCATAGGAGGTGTTAACAACATCCTCAAGGTCATCGTGAAATTAGGAAAAAATAGTTTATTTTTAGGATTACAGATGAACTGCTAATGCTATTTAGTCCAATAACCTTAACAGACGAAGCAAATTATCGCAATGTCTGAAGCAACGGTCATGGAAGGTTAAAAATAAACTTTTTTTTTATTTAAACAGAATTCAGAACACAAAAACACAATCTTGTACTACAAAATAATCGCAACTCGTGGTGATACAATTAAATAAAACAGAAAAATTGAAGTGGAACTGTAGTCAAAAACTGCACAATTAATTACTATGCTAACAGCTGGCTCACTAACTCTACCGGAGCGTCAGAACTAAAATGTTGACAACGAAAAAAAAAAAAAAAAAAAAAAAAAACGCAAAGCCTATACTTACAACTATTAGAGGTGGCAGAAAACTACAACGTAGCACGCACGCGATGCCAAAAACACGCTCTACCTTAAAATCCAAAAATTTCAGTTTAAATACTCGCTACTCATTCGCCTTCTGATGAGGAATACGCAAGGAAGAAGTTATAGTAAAGAGTGAAATTAAAAATAGCTGATTAATTAACATAAGATTCTAACATTAATATAAGAATTTTTAATTTCTTGGAGTCTTTTAACTGACGAGATTTTTATTTAGAATTAAATTAGTTTTTAAATGCGGATGTTTCTTTAAATAATATTTAATAAATAATGAGTATTATTATAGATAATTTGAATATGTAACATTTATATCTTCAGTGACGTCATCTAATTTTAATGCTCCATAATTATCTCGTTGCTCATTAATTTCATGTTAATTGTACAAAAATGAAACCATTTATGTTATGCTCGTTCAACTGATTAAACCTTTTATTTAAAGATGCTTGATTTCCATCATTAATGGCATCATAAAAATCTATATGAACCTTATCTTTGGCGAAATGTAATGTTTCATGGTCAAACTGTTTTACTTTCCCCCCTTTATTGAATCTTCTCCCAAAATTTTAAATTTGCTTCTTTTACACCAAAACCAAAAACCAAAAGGTTCACAAAAAAACCTCTTACATTCTCAGTGAAGGTTTGTTAAAAATTTTATTCAAGCCACAGTTCTTTACCAATGGTGAGAGCTTTTTTCTATCGCTGTTAATGATTCCCCCCCCCAAAAAAAATGTGAGATTGTGAACAGTTACAGTCTAACACAGTCCATTAATCTATGCAAGGTCACATGTGGTGGTCTCTTTATTATGGAGTCACCTAATAGGTGGGCCACCATCGCCTCCTATGAAGGAGGACAGTGAAACCTGCCTTCGAAATTCGAACTCGCGCTGCGGTATCGACGTCAGGATCCTAAATCACTATACCGCTGGGCGGCTGCTGTTAAAGCTATTGTTATGTTTATATCCATACTTTACAATATTTTGATAAGAAATATAACATAAAAGAACGATTTTATGCCACAGCCCCGACGCGTTGGTCTGCACCTAGGTGGGAGCAAGCAAGACTCCTCTTGTTGTGGGCCCATCTTATTCCATAGGAAAAGCCAGCAGAATGTCTGATGGTCGTATACAGCAGGTAAGAATAATTAAATTTTGTATAACTGAAAAAAAAAAAAAAAAAAAAAAAAATGAAGAAATAAGAAATTAGAAAGAATAATTACTGTGGAAAGTAGCGGTAATTTTAGTTTAGAACAGAAGTTCTCAACCGAGGTTCCAAGTTATGGAAAATGTGTTAAGGATTCAGTGACAGTGGGAAAAAAAATAAATAATAATAATTAAAAAAGAAATTCCAACATTGCTGTCTCTCAAAATTTAAACCTCACTTTAAAAATAATTGTAAAAAAGGTAAATTAAGTTCAACTGTTTATTTAATCTAATCTTTCAAATCATGGTTATGTAAAAATTATTTTAGTTTTTAGCAGAAAAAATTAAAATTACATAATTCATTAATACTCACTTAAGAGGAATCTCTAAAAGCCTGTTTGACATGGATTACGATATAAATTCAAACCCATAAATGATCGTTTTTCAGACAAGTACATTACTACTACGTCACAATGCTCGTCCGGCAGTATCTCATAGACTGTTGAGCAAAATTCAAGAACAAGACAGGTTTTTCAGTGTAACGTCGTGCAGGAGTGTTCCACATCAACCGAAATCATACCATTGCCAAGATGTGAAAATACTGGAAAAGTGTCCAAAGCCCTCCAAACAAGGAACAAAAAAGATAAAAAGGCGCCTTATTGAAAAGATAGCTCCGAGTGCACCTGGAGAGAAGATAGAAACCTTCATGTGACGGGCGCCTGACAATAAAAATTAAATTCAGTTTTTAGAAGGAGATACGGTAATCCCTGACTCCGATGCAGGAATTACAACGTCTGTCCATACTGAAGGCAAGTTTGTCAAGGAGGTAATGAAGCCCATTCTTCTTCTAGCGTCAATTTTCAGCTACGGAATCTCTGCTGGTGGCTAGCCATGTGCTGCCAAACATCTCCCGATCTGTACGTAAGGACAGAATAAAATACTCTTTTCCTTCAAAAAAATTATAAAACTGCTTTAAAATTAATTCTGAAGAGAATTTTTCGTGGTGTCTGTACGAACGTATGTACGTACGTATCTCGCATAACTCAAAAACGAGTAGCCTCAGACGTTGAAATTTGTATATAGGACTGCTTAACATGTAGATGTGACCTCGTATTTTGGTTGCAATCGGCCGACCAAACGTATATAAATATATTTATATATATATCCATCTATTACCCGGCTCCGTGATTCAGTTTCTTTACTCTTATTGTTTGTAGTTTACATTTTTTGCTTTAAAATGATTGAATTATGTTGTTTTTATCTTTCGGTAAGGATTTTATGCTTTAGTAAATCTGGTGCAATAATTTGATTATAGCAATTAAAGTGTTAATTGCCGCTAAGCTGTTTACTGGCGGCCATTGATGTTTACATTTGAAACAGAGACTAGTGATTTTTGCCAATCTAGGAAACTTAGCTTCGCAACAACAAGATAACGCCTTCATTTTATTTACATCATGCTTATCCTTTCTGGAATTTCGAGAAATAAGCGTTTAAGATTACTTCGTAATTTTTAATATAGATAGTTTGAGTTTATGTATTTTGCCTTCTCGCGAAGTGAGAACTGAATTAAATGGAAATACTCAATCGTCTGTGAAAATGTTTCTTTTTTGTTTTGTTCTTAATTTCTTTATACATCATTCTAGCTTTTTATGTATTTGATAGAACATGTGGCAACGAATAGATATTCTTTAAATGATATACATTTTGGCATTCTGAGTGATAATATAATGAAATAAATACTGTTAAGTAAACCTAGCGCCAGAGTGTCGCTATGGTAAAAAATGAATCTTAAAGAATGCATTTATTCTATTGTGGTTTATGCGCTGTCGGCGAAGTAGGTTAATTCAATCAATAAGTTTAAATAAAAAAGCAGAAAAAAAATGCGTATAATTTACTATTCCGTACAAGGAAGTCATGTGGTGTACACATCAGATTTTTAATTTTGTATAAATGAAAAAAAAAATTAAGATTAGAAAGAAAAATTACTGTGGAAAGCTGCGATAATTATAGTCTAAGGGACAGGAACTCTCGGCCTTCCAACACTCCTTTCCTCAAGTCATATATCATATATGCCGCATACCCTCTGTACCGGTCTCAAGTGTATCTCTTGACTGGTCTTTCGGTGCGTTCTGTTGCCTTTTTCCGATTTTATGCTGATTTCTCCGCTTCGTTCTTAAATTTTGCACACCAGTTCACTCAGTCTTACATGTATTTCCTCACCAGCATTACGTCTTTTTTTGATTTAAATCCATTTTGTGAATGTTTTAATCAGCCTAACGAAATCTTTTCAGTATAAATATTACCTCCATTCTTTGTTTTAAAAATTAATACTCACATTTAGTGAGAACTATCGATCGTATTTAAATTAAAATATGCCAGTTTTATTTTTTGTTATACACTGCCCTCCAAACATTAAAGAACAGCATATTTTTCAAAGCTCACCATTACAAAAAGGTCAGTAACATTTATATTCACAGTTTATATGCATGATAGTAAAAAGTTTAGGAAAATATATGCAAAAACAATAGCTACCACTTTCATTTCATAGAAATGAATAATTATATGAGAGGTGGTGAAAAAAATGCAAATTGTAAATTTTTTCACCAGTATTGATCTTCAGTTTTTATTAGTTATTTCGTTGACAATATCCAGAGGAGACTGTAGATTCATTAGGTTTTTTGATGCTGGAAACCTGTAAAATGAGCAATGCTCTCACCGGGACTCGATCCTGGATCTCTCGAATACAAGCCGAATGTGCTACTGTTATACCACAAAGGCTTGCAGAAAGGAGGGAGAAAATACCTTATAATCTATCAATGTTTATCAATAATAGTCTATCAATGTCTAAGTCGTTTGCCCGCGTTCAGGTATCGGGCGATCGGATGGACGGAAATGGGAATGTCACAAGCTGATGCTGTTAGACGTCTCAATGTCTCTCGTATTGTGGTCCGCCAAAAATGGAATCAGTTTGAATTCAAGGATTCCGTGTCTAGAAGACATGTTCCAGGCAGACCAAGAGTTACAACACCCTGCGGAAGACCGTTATTTAGCTCTTTTTTCCCGACGAAGGAGCAACATTACTGTGCCTCAGTTCGTGCCAGATCATTTAATGGCAATAGAAACAAGAATCTCAGCTACTACAGTGCACAGACGGCTGCACAATACAGGTTTGTATGCAAGACGACCAATTGTGTCCCCTTGACCCGAGGAATAATGTTGAATAATTTAATGTTGGGCTGGACCAGTCAACAATGGGCCTCACTTCTCTTCACAGACGAGTCCAGGTTCACATTGGACAGTAATTCAGGTCGTCAGCTGATCTGGAGGGAACAACGCACCAGATACAACCAATCCCACATTGTGTAAAGACACAGCTATAGAAGAGGTGGAGCTAAAGAAGTGGTTTGGGCCGGTATCTTTCTCAGTGGTCACACTGACCTGCATGTGTTGACCGGTGCGAGATATCGAAATGATCTTGATCAATATTCGCACCCATATGCCACTACTATTAGTCTTAGATTTCTTCTGGTGGACAACAATGCGCAACCTCACTGAGCTTAGTTTGCTGAAGTATATCTTAAGGGTCACGGTATGAAGCGAAATGAGCTAGAGCGGTCACGGTATGAGCTAGAATGGCCAGCTCAGTTCCCAGACCTGAATCCTATACAGCATCTTTGGGACTACCTTAGGAGACAGGTTGCTGCTTTGAGTACTTCTCCAAGGTCGTTAGATGAGTTTGAACAAGGATTACTCTGTTGTCTAGTCATTAGTTTCCATTTCACTGACCGACAACTTAATTGACAGCGTGGAATGATGCTACCACCAATGTGTTGCAGCTAGGAATGGACACATTCCTTATTAGAACTCATTTTTTATGTTGCCACCACTTCCCCTTCCCCCAAATAAACTGTGATTTACTGTTTCTCCAAGACTGAGTGCAATTTTTTTATTATAAGAGGTGCAGTTTTTTGTTGTAATTCATGCTTGTATTGAACTTTAGAAACATTCTATATCGCATGCATTACAGAACTGTTTAGTGAACCTGTTTTAAATTTCTTATTTCTATATTGCTTCATTCTCAAATTAAACACAAAAAACATGCCGTTAATTAACTTTTGGAGGGCAGTACATAACAAACAGATTTCCATACGACTCATCAATACGAATAATTATTATAAAATACTAGTATGATCTTTAGTTTGATAGCTATTGATCGGTTTTCCAATTTTTCGAATATATCTGTACACTAAGATTCTTAAGAAATATTTCTTATTTCTCAGATCCTAAACTAAACTACCAGCTTAACCTGCAACCTAATGTAGTAAATATGCTGCGTTACCGAACAAAATAATCCGTTAAACAAGTTGAAATTAAGAATCTTTCATTGAAATAAAGATATTTATTTGTTTATATTGGGGCTAGCTTTTCTTCTGAAGATAAAACAATTTCAAATTGAAGATCTGGGTATTTAACAAAATAAAACCAACGGATTTCAGTTGTTCATTCAGATGCTTAAATGCTAATGCTTTATGATTGAACCACAACGTCATCCTAAGATTTACAATCAGACGGACAATTTATTTAAAATTTGTAAAGTCCACAGCAAATCTATCGTAGATAGAATAGCTCGGAACTTACTTCAGCTGTTTATCTGAGCCACAATGAAAGCATATTCATCGAAGATTACTGCTAGGTATTCAAAAACGTTTGCATGAAGTTTTGAAATGTTTGATAGGACAGATAGATGTAAAAGCTCACTGTTTAACAACTGTTTTAGACTTAACAATTCACATGCAAAATTTGAAAAAAATCCAACTATTTAGAACATGCTTGTCCAAAGTTTTTAAACTTATTTCAAAGATCAAGCATTAGCATATTATTCTCTCAAATGAAAAACACAGTCCAGCTTTGGGGAAAATAAATAAATAATAAATAAATAAATAAATAAATAAATAAAGCAAGTATTGTAAATTAAGATTAAAGCTGCCATTGAGTTAAATTCTTTCTGGGGGCAGGCACTGGTTAATCTTAGTCTAGTTTTCTACCACTTTCTTGTTTTCTTTTGTCGTAAGTTTTACAATTGTTAAAGAATGCACAGCAAAGCCTTCCCAAGGAAGAACCATTCACTAGATGATTTTGTCTTTTTTAAAGGCTATCTATCATTTTACAGAATATGATTGTCAGTAATATTCAGTACAGTTGTTAAATTATGTAAGCAGAACTTCTGCTCTTTTTCAGAGACTGCCGTGAAAAATTCATCTGTCGAACGAATTTCTATTAATTACCACAAAACAAAACGGTTAAAGTTTCTCTAAGAAGAAACTATCTTTATGCTATTTCGCTTTCGCGAAAGAAGTATATTAATACCTCTTTATGTTAAAGGGAGGATATGCTAATGATTTTCACTTTTAAAAAAAGGTGAAAATCGGAAAGACTAAAATTTGTTTCATATAATTATTGCAGGAAGGACGATTTTTACTTCGAAATATATCCAGGTTAACATTACTTTTGCAAGGCATTTTCATTATTTATGACGATCTATGATGACAGATGTGTCAATCTTAACTTGTTAAAACGAACTGTTGCATTTTAAGCTGTTCACACATTTGTCTCTGAGGCAAGCAGATATTGAGACTGCGGCCAGTGATCCGATGGATGCACACAATGATGTACTATTAATAGATCTTCTTCGTCGTGCCCTCCTCTCTACATTCTAATTTTTTGTGCTTCTGCAATGGTAATGGGTCTTTTGGATAAAAGTTATACGTGAGTTGGACACAGGTATAAAGATAAATGAAACACAGGTAAAAAGATCGTTGCTCTTGTTCTGTAACAGAGGTACACTGCGGGGGGGGGAGACAGTTCAATATCTCCTTTTCTGGGCCGATTGACGAAATTCAACTTGCGTTTTTCATGTCTCGAAAGTGCGATTTAGGAAATGTATTAGATTTATATAAAGCACGGTTCTATAGATATTTTGACACAAAATCGGACTTTCTCTGAAATGACATTCCATTTTGTTTTCCACATTTCGATTCTACGACTCAAATTATGGCAAACTGCCAAATTTTGTAAAATCGCACGAGAAGTTTTTAAAAAATTTGCTTTCCAAATTTTGGCTCCTCAAAGTTAATTGAATTTGATACATATATATTAACAGATCTTTTTATTATTATTATTATTATTAAACTTACTTCATTCCTTCTTCCAGAATTCGAAATTTAGGCTCAATCCAAATGTAATTCGCATATTTTTTATGATTTACTTTTAAAATTTGTATTTTTAAATATTTTTTATAAATTTTACGAAAAAGGTTTTGTGTTTACCATCATCTTAAAGTAAATGTATTTCTATGCATACCTGCAAAAAATTAGAATTTGTTATTCAAAATTTCCAAAGATACACGTGAATTTACATATTGGCGCGTTTTGAAATTTGGAATGTTTGTTATAAGCGATAATAACGCCAAATGCAGTTTACGCGCTTTGTTAAAATTATATGAAAGTATCAAAGATGAACTTTTTTTCGATTGCGTACAAAAAAAAAAAAAAAAAAAAAAAAAAAAAAAAAAAAAAAGATTGCTATAAATTAAGAAGTTCGCCAAGTGAGTTATTCTTGGCGCGAACTTCAAAAATTGCGGCAAGATAAATTTTTGAATTTCTCCGTAAATTTCGCACCAAATTTTACAAAATTCATTATCTAGGCATAATGAGTCGTAGAATCGAAATATGGGGAAAAATCGGCATGTCATTTCAGAAAAAGTCCGATTTTGTTTCAACATACCTATATTAGAACAATGCTGTATATATATCCTAAGTCGCGCTTTCCAGAAATGAAAAACGCAATTTGAATTTCGTTAATCGGCCCAGAAGAACGGAAGATATAGAACGATACCACTTTTTTTTCTGCTCAGTGTACATGTAAATTAATTGGAGCACAAATTGGTAATAATTGGGTGATTCCAAATTTCTCTGAAACTTAGATTATGACATTTTAATAACACTTTCTTATAATTTGTAGCATGTAAAACCATTAAGGTGATATATATCTTTAAAATGTGATGAAATTTTCACATAGGCGTATTTATTTATCCCCATTCGAAATTTCTTCGCAATTCGTCGGGAATGTCAGTTCCCTGGTCATCTGTTTTCGATTTTACACATGACCTCTAAACGCAAAAATTGAAAATTTGCACATTTCACTGGCTTTCTTCTGCGCATATTTTAACAAATCACTTAAATTTTAACTATGTGCATATTTAAACTATGCAGCAAGCTGATTCGTCACACTCCACAACTTCGCTTACTGATAACTTTGCTTAAGGATGTGCATCCTTAAGTTTTGGATGTATGTGCATATTACTGGTAGCAATAATTTTGATAGGTTCGCCAAGATTGCTTTCTAGTAAAATATGAAGTAATTGATAAAGAAACGTGAAGCAAGGAAGTCCTGAAATTTTGCGAAATCATTTGAGCCATAAGAGGTGCTGGGAAACTAGAAGGTGCATCTGACCTCTAAAATCTCGTATTGTGCATCCTGATGTAACTAAAAAAAGTGGTATTAGTATTCTTTGATTATTTCTTTCAGAACCCCGGACCGGCAGCTTACATGTTACCCTCCACCGATATTAATATGAGTAAAGCACCGGCTTATTCTATATCCACGAAGGCAGTGCCACCCAGAGGTGCTACCTGGTCTCCTGGACCAGCCGCTCACAGCGCTCATATGGTAAGATATTCAAGAATTTATTAACTTTCGAAGATTTGAGGTGGGGAAGAACAAAAATTAAAATGGAAAATAGTGTAAGATGGATTGTTTATCGAATGAAGCAAGTGAACTCATTGGGAAAATCGTAGCATTACGATAAATATTTAAAAGTTTGCAAATCTGATAGGTAGAAAATATACTTTTAATCTTAATTGACAGCTGCGAATATATAGGATTGTTATACTTTATAGTTACAACAGCTCCTAATAAGCGCTTAAGATCAGGGCTTAATTTCTAAAAATAGAAGTGCCGGAGCCCTATGGAAGACCTTCAGCAAAGAGGAAGAGTAAATAGATGAATAAAATGACTATTAAACTCATTAATAATTTTAAAAGTAAATAGTTAATTACTATCAAATTAATTAATAGCTATTTAATTAATGTTTATAAATTTTTATTTAACCGATAATTATATAATCAAATAATTAAAATTAAATGTAAAGAGATCAATTAAAATTTAATAAGCAATTTTAAATATAATTTTATTGCTAAAATAAAATTTCTACTGAAATTGTTATTCAATTACATAAAAGAAGTGCCGCAGCTTTCTTATTTAGGGCTCCGGTGCGCTCCGGCTAAAATTAGGATTTATTACAAAAACTAAGAAGCATATGAGCCGGGATCCGGTGAGCTTCGGCACAATTTAAGCTCTGATCGTAGGGGGGGGGATGTGCTTTTATCATTACAAAAATTAAATGTACTTAAAATGTACCTAATGAAAATACAGATATAATTATAGCCATCAAGCGGATGTGTGTCAGGAATAAAATGAGTTCTGAATCTGACTCCTAAGGATGAATGCAAAGTTGCTGGTTACATTAGTGGTACATCTGGGAAGACGATGTATAGGACGTGCTTGAGCAGTTTATCTCAGTATTTCACTCTTATTGTACTCGCTGTTGCTTAACGCACATTTAAGAACACAAATTTTCCTTCCTGCGAGGATAACTAACTGTAACCATCCATAACAATACACTAGATAGGATGGCATGGCGAGAAATTTACGCGTTCCTAAGCAAACTCCCTCAAATTTATTGCCCTTCTTAAAGGGAAAGGTTTCCGCATGTGAGTTAGGGGACGTTACTTGAACGTCTCATGTTCTCATGAGTTCGTATTTCTAGGGAAAAGGTCTGCTTATTGTTAAATTAAAATGTTAGGAATTCTAATTTTTTTTTTTTTCCCCGAAATCATGGCTTAGTTTTATAAAAAGAAGTACCGGAGCTCAGCTTATTTAGGGCTCCGGCGAAATTTAAGCACTGCTTAAGATTATACCATTCAAATGACATAATTTAACAAAAGATACAGCCTGCATCTATAATTATCAATTTGATGACGTTTTTGCGGAAATTTAAAATCTAAAATTGAAATATCACATATAATTAGCTCAATATCCCATAATCATTTAAAAAATTAAATGTAAAAGATATTATAAATGAAAGGGTAGGATGACTTCCAATTTTAGTATAATAGTAAGGGGATGATTATAGCATTAATAGTATTTGGGTGATGATACTAATAATAGTTGTACTTAAAAATTAATTTTTACCTAATGATGGCGTTTCCTCTCTTTTCGCTCAGCAGAGATTAACTCTAAAGACGTAGGACACTCTGAAAGTTTTGTATATAAAATACCTTGCATTTCTTGCATTAGTAATATTTGATAGTCCTATGGACATACAACTCATGATTAAGCTGCTGTTTGACTATTGTAGCCTCATGTAAATAGCATTTAATTTCTTCTCATGCGAATTTATAGCTAATTGAATAAATTCAAAAATAGAAAAACGAAGATCGCCGTGGTAGAACAGAAACTATACAGTAGCCAGCAGGGCACACCCTTATGTATGCAGTTCTTTACTATTATGAATTATTAAGCCACAGATGCCGGCGAAAGGTTTTGTTAAGGATGATTACAAAGGCATCATGAAAGTTTGGGGGAGAAATTCATCTTAATCAAATCAAAGGGGATGTTCCGCTGGGAAGGTTTCTGCTTTACATTTTCTTAATATTCAAAATAATTGCCATTAAAACGATGATAGCACTGCCGTTAATTTAAAGAGGCGTGACAAAAATATAGGATGAACAAAGGCTGCGCCATATACAATTTCAAAGAAGGCATAATTACATATGGTACGGAAGGCCTGTTAAAAGGTGATGTCCACTTTCAGCCGTGGAAGTTGAGCAAAAAAGGAAAATAGTGGATTTTTAGCCGAAAATTCTCCCCCCACTGAAAGAGCTCAAGGAGCCCCCTCTTAAAATTCCCTAATGCTCGATTTCCTTAGTTTGGTAGCACATTTGACAATAACCTGCTATACTTGGCGTATTAATAAGATGTACTTCTTTCTTTGATGAAACAATCGAACGTTAAAATCGATAATTTCCAAAGATCCAATATTTTAATAAATAATCATTTCTCGGTCTAGACCAAAAGTTCTCAACGAGAGAGAAGTTCCGTATTTTCAGGGGAGGGGGAGAAGTTACCTATTTAGTTATAGTTATGAATATAAAACTCAACTTTTTTAATTTTATATACGCATTTTTCGTCGTTTCATTTATAAAACAAGTTAACAATAATTTAAATTTAATTGAATTTATAGACATATTTTTCGAGTTTTTAAAAGGATGGGATCTTCTAGTAATGGTGAAAGGGATGCATGGGGCTAAAATGGTCTAGACCAGAGTTTCTTAAACTGTGGGTCGCCAAAAATTTTAGCAATTTTGAGATTTCTTTAACTTATTATAATAATTTTACAATTACCAAATACTTTTACATACTGTTTCTGAAAATAGATAAGACAACATAGACAAAGAAAAAACGAAAACTTTTCCACGCATTCTTTTATATAATAGAAATGTTCATTTTACTTTCAAAATTAATAACCTAAAACTGCAATAACAAGTGAAGAAACTGACAGTTTGACTTACGCGTGTGTCGGATTTGCGCAATGCTTACGGGGGGTCCCACAAAAGTTTCATAAATATTATGGGGTCCCCACACCAAAAAATTTAAGAAACCCTGGTCTAGACGAAATACATTTTCTCTTGGCAGCTTAGCAAAGTCTGCAGCTGTCATGAAGATATAATTTCTGTTCACAGAAACAGTTAATAAAAAGTGTTTATCATCAATAACGTTCATAACCATATTCTGTGGTTCGACGATTTATCCTTACAAGATAAGGAATAACAGATATATAATTTTCAGGATTTAATTCGTCTAGGAACACAAACGGTGAATTATAGAAAAGTAACAGAAATGCTAGATGCAGTACTTTATAAAAATCGTCTGAATCATCTAATTTTCTAAAGTAACATAAACTTGAAACTGTAAAATATGGCATATTTTGAATCACACATTTACCTACCTTTTTTTTTTTTTTTTTTTTTACATAACACATTAAAAAAAAAATAAATAAACGACAGAGCTTAATGTCTTCTCTACTGACAGAGAAAAATCCATGTTATAGAAGTAATCGGATCTTTGTGGTTGTATCAAATAATCAATAAATAAAAATAATTAAAAAACTCTTAAATTTTTTTTTTACGATTATTATTTACTTTTAAAATCTTTTTGGCACAGATTAAAATATTAGACTTTTGCATCTTTCAGACCTAGAATTTCTCAATTCATCTTGTATTACTAATTTCAAGTATTATAATTTCAATGCAATACACTCTTAATATCATTCATTCGTATTCCGCCATATTCTACACTTTTGGAATTAATTTTGGAATTAATTAATTCTTTGAGTCTTCTTCATAGTACAAAATAATTTATTTAGGAAATAATAAAATAGTTTCTTAGATAAAGTATTTGTCGAAAATCACAGTAAAATTTATATGTAACTCTCGGTTCTTTTAAAATTATTGAAATAACAGAGAAGAGTTTAAATTATTTTGGTCTCTTCATGAGAACATTCAGAATATGTATTTATTTGTTGCACTTCGAAGGAGGTTTATTATTTTCATTTCGCATATAAAATCCTATCTTGGCAAAATGAAATTTTTAAATCTGATCATGCTTCGGAAACTGACAGAGAAGAGAAAGAACTCGAGAGCAGTCCTTGGCAAATGTTGCCACAGCGCGAAATATAAGATTTTTAATTAATGTTTATGTTTTAATTATATCATGCGGATTCTCAGTGTTATCAATCGGCAATGCCTAAGATCTTTAATTTAAATTAAAATCTAATCTATTTTTGATAAAAAAACAAAGTTTTTTAAAAACAATAAATTTACTTCTTAATGCATGAAATATACGAGTACTTTCATAATACATGGAACTGATAAAATTTATGAATATTTTAAACTTTAAGTTTTTAACCCCACATATTACATATTCGGAACAAAATCATTTGTTCCCTAATTTTGTGATGTTTTAATGTAAATGTTTTTAATATTTAAAACAAATTTTTAATGATAATTTTAGTTATTATTATTATTATTATTGGTCTTAGACTGTAATCTAAAACCAAAAGTTTGTTCTTCTTTTATTTATTTTGATTTTGCTTCTCCGAGAAAAAATTCTTACTTCTTAACACACGTAAATTTGCTACAAGTTCTTAACTGTATGCTTTGAAATTTTTAGGTTAAATATGATAAATACAGCACTCCTCGAATCACCTTTGGAATCAAGCACAGCCCTTTCAAGGCTCTTCCTGGATTTGATACTCAGAAATGACTTTTCAGATAAATAAGAAAACAATTTATCCATTTAGAGAAGTATTTTCTTAATAAAAAGAAGATATTCTCTCTGCTGCTTACTTTCATATTTTATTAAACATCGAAATAATTAACATCAATGGAAAATAAATAGTGCCAGTTAACACCTTTCTTGGGTTCTAAATTAATTTAGCTAGCTCACTTAAAATCACATTAAGGTATCATTTGAATTTTTTCTACAACAATGTCTAACTGTAAACAAACACACACAGAATTAAATTAATTTTAAATTTGTTCTACCGCATCACTTGTGAGGAGTTAAAATACATAAAGTTACCATACAACTGGACCTGGTTTAAAACAAGCTTCTTCACATTTGTTATACTTTTAATAATTTAATCTAACCTTTTTAGAAGCTAACAAGTGTGGCAGTGAAACGGGCGATTTGGCAACCCTGGAAATAACAATTTACGTTAGAAATTAGGAAACGGGAGAGGTGCCATCTGGTCAACAAATCTTCCCCATTGATCCTGATTTCGGTGTTCAGTTCATGGAGGTAGGAAGTCAAGGTCCGTAGAAAGAAGGTTCTTTGGAACCTTGGGAAGTAAGATGGAGTGGCCCTAAACCGGTTTTCCTCATACTCTGCTCTGAAGCACTGGTGATCCCTACGTAATGACCAAAACATTGGGTCATTCAATGGAATCTGACACGATCGGATATAAATATTTTGTAATTACGTCGTAGATATACATATAAATGCATATATTTTCTTTTTCTACAATATTTCAGAGTCCTAAGTATATGAAAAGAATACATTTTTAAACAACATTCCATTCTGAGCTGAATTAAATGCTTTACTTTTCTCAGAACAGTTTGCTCAGAACGTTTTAACTTGAATGAAATATTTTAACAAGTTTCCTTAATTACATTAGAAAAAATTTTAACGTAATTCGATTTTATTCGATTGATTATAAAAATTAAGACTAAAGTTTATTGTATTATTAATATTAAAATTATGCACTATTTCTTTTCTATTTATAGAGCTTCTTCCTAAAATACTTTCTCAAACATGACATGATTTTTTGGCTTCTGAGGCATCTTTTATATCGAAAAATCAAAGTCAATTTATAATTAATGCTCTATTCGGTCCATTTCAAATTAGATCACATTTTATTTTAATAACGAAATACTTTAAATAGTACTTAAGTTTCTCTGAATATTTCTGAAAGAGAATAAAATAAGGATTTTTTAAAAATATTATTTAAAACTTGTAACTGAGTTATAAAATGTAAGGGGATAATTCTTTTAATTATACTTATCAGATTTTTTTACCCATAATTTCTACAATATGTATTCTAAAACTCTTCTTTATTACTTACTTAAATATGCATCTCATAGAATTTGCTTTACAATACCTTTTAACAGATTGCTTTCATGTACGAACAAGTCTTGCTTAAATAGTTTTATAATGTATTTGTCAACAGGATTTCAATTTATATTTACAGTTCAATGCTATATATTTAGATAATATTTATAATCATTATAGATACATTTAATAATTAGATTTCTTCACAGTAATTTTCACTTGTTTATGAATGAATAAATCCTTCATTTCAAACACATTTATAAATAATTTAATAAATATTTACGTATTTTGTTAAAGGCAGATACATGCTTTTGCAAGTACATGCATAAATACTCATACATATTTCATATTTTTCATTTCAAGCATGTGCAAATCTTTAATTTCTGTGCATTCATTATGTTTTTCGAGTAAAGTAATTTACACTAATTTAACATATACCCGAAAGTTTTACATAAGAAATATGTATAAATATAATCTGAATGAAACTTATATGCATTATTTTTAATACCCACTCAAAAGTAAGTTTTTCTTCAAAATTCCTCCAGAATGGCATCTCTCCCTGTAGGCAGATACCCCTTGCATGCTTTACTCTATTTAATAAAAACTTAACCTGACCTATGTACCTAATTACAAATATTTTAACATGCATAATTTTATATTTACATTTAGCCATCAAGTTTCAAACTGAAAACACATTTTAGGATACATTCATCATCAAATTCAAATCTTCTAGTAAATACATTTTGGCAAAGCACTCAATACCTCCTTTATTGATTTTACACAGTTTAATAATTCTCTGATAATATAATAAATAATAACAACTAAGTAAAATGTGTAAGCCCAAAGTGACTATTTTTCAGATATATAAAAATAAAATGAGATTAAAACGAGCAACAGTAAAGCCTCTCCTCTAAAAAAATTTAAAAAGTACATGTTACAATAATATGTGGATGTGAAAAAAAAAACCTATTTTATTTAAAACATTTTGGGCGTTTTTGGATAAATAAACTCCAAAATGTTTTAAATAAAATTTTTATAAATATATAAAAATTTTGCGCATTTGAATAAAATAAAAAAATCTGCGCATTTGGATAAAATAAAAGTAGCAAATACTCTATCAAGAGTATCGAAAGATGTATACAATTTTAAAGGTACCGTAAGGTATTTTTCATTTTTTAAGTATAACATTTTTGCTGAAATCTATATTTTTTTAGTTCAACAGCTTAGAATTTTATAAAACAAATTCATAATCAAAATCGCTGTTGTTAATTATAAAAAAATATCCAAGATGTGATTTTTGCGTAAATGTCACTAAACTATACAAATTGCTATTATCCATCACACTATGAATGTTTCTTTCATGCAAAAGTGTCCTGTTTTCGATTTTTGTGGAACTGTTGTGTGTCAAATACTATCAGAGCTCTGTCAAGTGAGCTTCTGAATGTAAGCAAAAAACACCCCATCTGGTGACCGAAGCTTCGAAGCAGTGCTTCACTTCTAGTGCTGGTTTGGCCACTCCTTCCTTTCTTGCCTACATGGTTCAGTTGGGATGGTGTCGTGGACCATTGAACAACACGCTTACAAAATGCAGCAGAGCAAAAACTAAATGTGGACAATCTCCCAAAGAGACAGCGCTTTTGCTGGGAATTGTTGGATCTCATGAATGACAACCCAGGCCTGTGCAACAATCTGATCATGAATGATAAGGCTAATTTTTATGTGTCAGGCTTTGTTATGAAAGAAAAGAGAGTAAGATAATGATAAATTCGGAAGTAATTCAGATGATTAAAATGATGGAATTAAAAAATACCAACTCATTTTACTAGTATGAAATACCATTTCAACTGCTAGAACAGAACTACTATGTTAGAAGTCATTAATATTCCATACATAAGATAATTTTAAACATTTTAGTATGAAAAAATATGAATAATAAGGCTAACTCATAATTTTTATCCCTCATTTGATGAAAACGCCGTAATTTCTTAAAACTTTATTAACAGTCAAATCAAAATCAACAAGAATAGATTAGTATATTTATTTTAAGATCAGAAACATAAAAATATCATTTTAAGAAGAAAGAAGCAGTTACAGTATAGTGGAATTTTAGAAATCCGCAAAGCTTGGGACCAGAGGCTGTGTGGATTTTAGGATTTTGCGGTTTTCAGGACAGAAAAGATAAATCATAATATTCAGACTAAAAATGCAAAATAAATAAGGCATATTAGATACATTTAATTAAATTATTATATACATTATCGCAATAACTTATTATTACATATTATTCATCGTACTATTATATATACACAGCATCGAGGTTTGCTGATTTCGCCTCATGCAAAGATTTCCGGTTTCGGATTCCGGTGTTAGAATCACTGTTGCTGTAAATTTCAACAGTTTTTCTATATTTTTCTGTATATCATACACAATCGTATCATAATTCCATACGATTCTGCTATAAACCGAGGAGTAGCACCTGTCACCATCTTTTGCAGAATTTAAACTTTTTGCATTACCGTCAATGCAATGTGTTTAAGTTTTTCAACGTTGCTAGCAGTAAAATCATGAGGGCGTTTCTAATCTGTAATTGTATTAAAAAGGGCTGAAATTAAAAATATTCTTAATTCGTCCACAAAATATCCGAATAAAAAAAAAAGGCAACACTAAATAATCTCATGAAATAACAAAGCTCGGAAAATACAACAACGTGAATCGTGAACTTCTTTTCTTACCTCGATGCAGATTAGAGGAGAAAAAAACTTTTATCATGATGTCAATAATTTGGTATTTCTGTTAGGACTCATTATTATTCGGTTATTCGGTAAGTATTTTTTCTTCGATATTTCGTACTCAATGTTGCGGTTTCCGGAACCTATAAACTGAATGTTTATATTTTGAAAGGCAACGCGGATTTCAGGAGTTGGCGGATTTTCGGTATTTGACTGTACTATTTAATTCTTTAGAAAGTTTTTAATTCATATAAAAAATAAAAACTTATTTTATATTGTTTCATATTGTATAAACGCATTTATACAATATGAAACATCTTTTTTTAAAAACAAAAGCATATTCCATTTTTGGACATAAATTACTCTACCCTCTCAAACTGGACAAAATATGCCATTAACTATATAAGAATAAAAAGAATGCTTTCAAATGAACAAATATAAACATGAATTTCAAATATAAACATGAAATGTATGAAAATATTTCAATTATTAAATTATGAGAATTATTAAAGCGTAGTTACACCATAAATGTAGCATTTGCTTCTCATTATCGGTAAAAATATTTCAAATGCGATGCATTAATTATTATCACGCAGGTACAAAACAGGTACATTCTAACTATTCAATAGTACTTTTGAGATGAAAGCAATATGTTGAAGTGAAACATGCTTTAAAAAATAAAGATACTGTGAATTTGCCTCCCCAGAAACACTAAATGAGTTGTTATAATTTCTGGTTAAAACATTTTTCTTTGCTTTTAGATATTCATATAATTTATTTAAAAATAGATTCTTGTTTCTTAAGACATATTTTGCTTTTAATGGGTGAAAAGTCAGATCATTCCTCTAAAAATCAAACTTAACATTCCAATATCCCTATTGGTTATCCATGCTAACTATAATATTTTTAAATACAGTCAAAAGTCGTTAATTCGGACATCCATAATCTAGAATGATCTATAATCCGGACCTCAAAGCTACAAACGTTCTGCTCATGTCCTGTTGACGTAAGACCTTTACGGCTGCGAATATTCGTGTGCGCATTGTAACAGCTTTAAATAATATTAAAATCTTGTAGTTTAAATAATTTAAATAGATGAACATTAAGGTATTTGTGAATGGCAATATTTGACCAGACTCGAGTGCCACGTGCGACTCTCGCACGAAGAATGTAATTTATTTTTAAATGTTAGTATTCTTTTTTTTTTTTGTTTGTTTGTTTGTATGTCGCCATATTTTTTTAGTGTTAAATAAAAGTTATTGCTGTGTTCCATCACTGGAGTTGCTTCATATCGCCAAAGAATTATCACAGTCTTAATTATTTTGGAGGCACCGGCGAGATCGAATAATCGTGCGTATTTTTGTTTTATTAGTTCATCACTGAACGTAATATTAGTGATACCAGGTTATTACTTCCTATTGATATTGAATTGCCTTATTTTATTAGTTCATCACTGAACGTAATATTAGTGATACCAGATTATTACTTCCTGTTGATATTAAATTGC